TTTATTTATATTTTTGAAAAAAAAAATTAAAACTTAGTTCTTAAAATTTTAAATATCATTAAATGTTTGGAAAATAGAAAAAAAAAAAAAAAATTGTTTAATATCGTCAAATTAGACAAGTATATTTTAAATAAATATTAATCATTAGTAAATAAATAAAGTAAAGCCTAAGTTATAGGAAATTATATTTTAAATTTGGCTGCATTAATCCCAATAAAAATGGCTTATTAAAGAAGTAAACCTCTATTAGTACTAATAAAGCCAAAAACCCATCCCAAGCTGAGCTGGATTTAATGTGCCATTATATCCTTTTTCTACTTTAATTTCAACCACTAATACTTTTAAACATTTAATTAATAAAAATATATTTAATACTACACTTTCTCTAAAAATAAATAATAATGAAATATTCTTCCCTCCATATCAAGCCTATCATGGGTTTGCTTTCGGGTTCCCAGAAAGCCTCATTGAGAGAGTATTCCTTACTTATAAACTCAGCCGATGTGGGACTTTCATTCAACACCTCCCCTTGAACAAAGTACGTCTCCCCTTAATCGTGGCTCGACTCATTTCCTTTTAGAGTTTTCGTCATTTCTAACTATGCCTTCGAGGAGCCTTGACTCCGTTTTCTTATGGAGTTCTTTGTTCGACATTTGAGGTTTCTATTGACATGACTAAACCATTTTTTTTTAGACTTCGAACATATTTTAAACTTTTTTTTAAAGTTAAAAAATACTTTCACTAGTTGTAGCACGTTTAAAACATAATTTTTAAAAATAACATTCGAAAGTTTGGAAATAATTTATGATATATTGACGGTAATACTATTTTTAAAAATGGAATATTATTAATATTTTTTAAGATTATTTTGAGGATTTATTCTGAAAATAAAATTTAATTTTTATGGTGTGAGATAAAATTCATCCCTTATTAAATATATTAATTGCAACAATAATTTAAGGAAAATTTAAAATTATACCGTTACTTGGAGTGGAAGGTTAAAATGGATGAAACCCATTAAATATTTCCCCAAAATTTATAATACATTTATTTTTTCATTCATGACACTTTACTTATTTTTGACGAATTATTACATGTGAATTTCAAAATTAGACTTCAATTTTAAATATTGTATTTACTAACTAAATATTAACTATTAATTTATTTATCCATAAATTTTATTTATATTTTCAAATTACCTATAGTTATCATCCTCATGTTTTTATATTTTATTTCATTCTCCTTTCCGATTGACGTGCGATCTTATAATATTTGGGGAATGATCATGGGTTTATAATCAAGGAATACTTTTTTCATTGGTTTGAGATCTTCTCAGAAGCTCAAAGCAAAGCCACGAGAGCTTATGCTCAAAGTGGACAATATCATACTAGTGTGGAGAGTCGTGTTCGTCTAACATGACTCTCTAACTGATGAGGGATCTCACAATCCGCCCTTTTTAGGACCTAGCATCCTCGCGGTGTTTGACCCTAATACCATTTGTAATGGCTCAAGTCCACTACTAGCAGATATTGTCTAGGGATCTCACAATCCGCCCTTTTTAGGACCCAGCATACTCGCGGTGTTTGACCCTAATACCATTTGTAACGGCTCAAGTCCATTACTAGCAGATATTGTCTACTTTGAGGGATCTCACAATCCGCCCTTTTTAGGACCCAATATCCTCGCGGTGTTTGACCCTAATACTATTTGTAACGGCCCAAGTCTACTGCTAGTAGATATTGTCTACTTTAACCCGATCCGCGTATCGTCATCAGCCTACGGAGAAATTTCCCTCTATTTCTCTCTATAACAGACGTGAGAGGTTCAAAATGTAAAAAATATTGGTTTTAAATTTTTAAAAAATTACTGAATGTAAAATCTGTTTTTTATATGAGATTTAAAGACCAAATCAACATATATCTTTTAAAAAAATACAATGATAGGAAAACGGAAAAAGAAAAGAATATTAGGATATTTTATAATATTATTAACAAATTGAAAAATATAAAAATATAAAAATATAAAAAAATTCAACTCTGAAGCTGTGAGACATTTGCTCACCCTGTTTTTTTTTATATAGACAATGCCCGTGATTTAACACAGCCTCCCACCCTGAAGAATCTTGGTTTTGTTCTCCTCCTCTTCTTCTTCTTCTTCTTCTTCCTGGTTCTTGAATTGTTCGTTCAAATTTCAGAATAATTCATCTTCCATTGTTCTTCAATGAAGGGGAAGGAGGAGCATCATAATTCTATCAATCTGCAGAGGCAGCATCTTCCCAAATGACACCTGAATTCGCTTTTCTCGCCGCCGTCTTGATATCTTTGCATCTGCAGCTGCATTTCGCCGACGCTTTTGGCTCTGCATCCACCGTCGCTGTCGCCTATGGCACCGCTACTGTCTGCGGCATTATCGCCGGTAAGCAAAGCCAGAGAATTCAATGCTATAGAGGACATGAAGTGATCTCCGTTCTACCTCATGTCTCCTTTGAAGCAATCTCTGGCGGGCAGAGATTCTTCTGTGGTCTTCGTACTGGTGGGTTCAGCCTCCATTGCTGGGAGACCGATGCTGGTTTCCAACCTAAACGTGTTTACCACAGCACCGCCTTCCCCTTGACTGATCTGGCCGTTGGTGATGTGCACGTTTGTGCAAGAGAGGTCATCTCCGGCAGAGCAAGATGCTGGAGGGGAACAGAGAGAGATGGGTCTTTGTTTCCTTCGCCTGATGCAGCATTGCAGTTTCAGACAGTCACCTCTGGAAGTGGGTTTTCATGTGGGATTTTGAAGAAAAACAGAACCATTTTGTGTTGGGGGAGCAATGGAATTGGATCAAAGATTCAATCTCAGTTTGGGAATCTGTCCATGGTGAGCTTAGTCGCCGGAGAGTCTCATGTCTGTGGGTTGACTGCATCCAGCGGAGTCCTAATCTGCAAGGGAAACAGCAACGCCGGCCAATTAGAGGTTCCTATCAAATCAGCTCATGAATATACAGATCTTGCATTGGGGGCTAGCTTCACTTGTGCTATAAGGCAAAAAAATGGGGCGGTTTCTTGCTGGGGTGGAGGAGCAGAGGAGCTCAACATTCAAAACAATATCAATTTCAACGATTCATTTGAGCTAATCACAGCAGGATCAGACATGTTATGTGGGTTGAAGACAAGCAATTTGATAATAATGTGCTGGTCCAAGGCAAACAAGAACTCACCAGTTGTTCTTCCATTGGGGATGATAATCCCTGGCCCGTGTGTTCAAGATCCTTGCAGCTCCTGTGGCATCTATCCAAATTCAGCATTTCTCTGTGATGGGTCTGGAAATATTTGCAAATCATGCCAGAGAGAGCTCCCAATTGCTGTACCGTTGCCAAAGAAGCCAGAATCTCAATCAATCCCAGGTTCTTCTTCACCTACAAGAGCCAGAAACAGGCTCACCCTGGCGTTTCTCATAGTTGGCGCAGTTGGGGTTATGGCTGGAGCTTGCACCATTTTGTTCTGCATATCAAATTGCTTAGCTCTTTGTTCTTCTAGCAACACAGCAGATAATCTAGAGCTGAAAACAATCCCACAAGCGCTAATGGAAAATTACTCCGGTCGGTCATTCTCTTTGATGGAACTAGCTGCTGCAACAAGCAACTTCTCATCTGAAAACAAGATTGGTGGAGGGAGTTTTGGAGTTGTTTACAAAGGGGAACTCTCAGATGGGACTGAAGTAGCCATCAAAAGAGGAGAAAACAACGAGAAAACAGAAGACCCACAAGAGAAACAAGACGCATTTACTTCAGAATTAGCAACGCTATTGCGGCTTAATCACAAACACCTTGTGGGCATGGTGGGTTACTGCCAAGAAAACGATGAGAGGATTCTAGTTTATGAATTCATGCCAAATGGTTCTCTCCATGATCATTTACACAACAGAGCTCACACAAATGAAGACGGATTGTTACTAAATACATGGAAAACGAGGATCAAAATCGCATTAGACGCAGCCAGAGGAATCGAGTACCTTCACAATTACGCAGTCCCACCAATAATCCACCGAGACATCAAATCCTCAAACATACTATTAGACGGAAACTTCACAGCAAGAGTCTCGGATTTCGGATTCTCTTTGATGCGACAGCCAGATATTTCAACGGAAACCACCGTCGGGGGTACAATCGGGTACATCGATCCAGAGTACTACGTGTCAAGGATTTCGACGTCAAAAAGCGACGTGTACGGGCTAGGAATTGTACTGCTGGAGCTTTTGACGGGAAGGAAGGCGGTATTCAGAGACAGCGGAAGCAGAAGTCCAGTGACATTGGTGGAATTTGCGGTGGCGCGAATTGGGGGCGGCGAGCTGTGGGATGTGGTGGACAAGACGGTTAGGACACCGGAGATGAAGGAAGTGGAAGCGGTAGAGATAGTGGCGTATACGGCCATGCATTGTGTGAGCTTGGAGGGTGAAGAGAGGCCGAATATTACCGACATTGTTGGGAATTTGGAGAAAGCTTTTGCTCGCTGTAATGGCGATCTCTGTGAAAATCTCTAACACCTTTATTTTTTTTTTTTGAAGATTTTTTTACCTAAATATTTTAAAATTTAAATGCGGGACGTAGTTGTGTCTTGGAACCTCAAAGCAAAGTCACTTCAGAATGTGGACAATATTATACCATGTGGAGAGTCGTATATTTATTATTAATAGTCGCTGTCAATAAAAGCGGTTTCAACGCGGAGCTTATGAAAAAATACCGTTAGTTAACATGGCGTTTTCAAACACATTATTTCTCAATTATATTAAATAAATAATATATATTATAGATCGTAATGCAATGCATTATCGAGGACTAAAAGCTTTGGCCGGCAATTGCTATTTGCCAGAAATTATTTTTAATTATTTTTTATTTTCCTTGTTGAAATATATAATTAATTAATTACATATGTAAATAATTAAAAAATAATAATGGTTTTATTCCATTTTCCTTTAATTTTTATTTATTATTTATATATTTTAAACTATTTATTCGTGTTATTCAAATTCGAAACTCATGAGGAGCTTCACATGTTTGTATTTCTCTCCCCTCTTACTGTATAATGGAACTGCGCGGATTCCTGATCGGAGCTCTTTCACCGGCAGACATGTCTGGCCGGCGAAGTCATCTTTACCAGAGGTATCGTGATCACGAACTATAACTCTTAGCAAAGCCAGTTCAGGAGTGCTTATTGAGAAACTGAACTTCGCGTTCCAAACAGGTACCCACTGGTCTTGGATCGTGGCTGTTCTTTCCGTTGTTGTATCATCTCGGACTCCGACGATTCCAATCTAAAATCAGTAAGGAAATTCCTGTTATAGATGTATTGCTACTACAATCGCTTATCTGCCATTTCTTGAATGTTGATTTTTTTTAATCGATATCTGTTTCTTACCTGTACGTATAAGTCTGGAGGCGAATAGAAATCGAAATGTGAGAGACCGAATTCCGAATTCCATCCTTCTCCCATGTATACCTTTATCTGTAACCATTGCAATGGAATCATGAATTTGTTAAACATTAGACAATGTGTTTCTTTGTGCAAGTAAACTGACCGTTAAACGTCTGATCATAGTCGAAGATGATGATCTGGAATTAGAAGGCTTATGATCTAGGTTATTCAACAAGAAATCGGGTTTTTTAATATAGCCACAACCGCCATTGCCTCTGAACATTCCTTGCATGATCCACAAGTATTTCCCGTATCCCTTCAACGCATACAAATCATTAGTGGATACTAAAATTCTTTTTTCTACGAACAACTTTCTTTCCTTTATCTTTCTTTCTCATTTTTGTTTGTTATTTTCTTCTCTTGGTTAAAATGTTGCTTTATTTGTTGCGGGATTTAGCAGCCAGAATATGGATATCTGGACCGCATTATATATATACACACATATATATTCTCCAATGCTAAGTTTTATGGAATCTGGCATGGGTCAGCAGTTTAAATTTTGTTCATATGTATAGCATAGCGACGAAAATATAGAAGAGGAGTGTGAACGCTAACCTGCATATTAAAGGCAACCATTTGAGCCCCGTGAGTCCAGCCAAGCATAGGATTGTAATTAGATGAGTCTAATCTTAAGCCTTTTGGGTACACTCTCAGCAAATTCCTTTGTGTAAACCTAAGACACAATTTTATTGAATATCTCTTAAAAACATAGAAATACTAGTTATCCGTTTGTGATGTTAGATATGGTTATTCAGAGAAAAAAGACTTTGTCTTAGTATTTCATTCTCAACAAGGTGAAATTAGAGTCAAACATACTTGTTATCTAAAATTAAAAGCTACTGTATGATTAAAAAGTGCTATCAAATGGATATAATGTATATGCATTCATTTCCTCTGTGAATAAGTTTGCACAGTTTGATCCATAGACTCCAAATTCACTCTACTAAATGTTGGGAAAATGAAAAAGTACAATAGTTATACCTGATAATATCACGCCCATAGTCTTTTGTAGCCTTTTCAAGTGCTTGTTCACTCAGACTAAATCTTGAAACACTTTCTGTATCATTAAGGAAAGCCTGGAGATTTAATCCAGGTTTCTTCTTCTTTGCATGAATGGCAATCAATTTCCTGTATTCTGGAACAGCAACGTCCTCATCTTCATCCTCCTCCAGGTCATCCTGCAAGTCAGAATGTGAATTGGAAATGAAAACTAGCTCACTTTCTGTATCAAGAATTCTACATCATGTTCAGAAGATGAGGTCATTATCAAAGTGTGAATCTTTCAGGTATGTCTAAATGTTCTGGATTTTATTACATCATTACAAGTTTGTTGTTTTCATGAAAAAGAATGAAAAGAAAAGATAAAATATAATGCGCACCTCATCCACATCTTCTTGTGGCCTTACACTGCCCCAAATGTCATCATCGGCAATGTCTCTTTGCTTATCCGTTGATGGCTTTTCCTTTGTGCTCTCACCCTTTTTGTTTTTTGGTGGTTTGGCAGAAATCAGAACCCTTTTCTTTAGTGACTCTGGGGATCGGAGTTTATTCAAGTCTTCCAATTCAGGAACGTAAAGCATATCCTCAAATGTTTCATTAACCATCTACACATATTTACATAGGTAAAGAAGAATTAATAGCAAGTAAAAAAACGGAAGTGTAATATCTTATGATAAGTGTTTTAGTTTTATAGAAAGTTGTTTTAAAAACTATGGTTTTAGTTTTCATAATTTGATTAGGATATTAAGAGCTTCTTAAAATTACAATAGAATGCACTATGATTTCTAGAATTGCGTGGAAAATATAAAAATGCTAACAAACGAGTCTAAAAAAACAAAAAAAATCTATAAATGTTGAAATTTGAATAAAATTTGAAAGTATTACTCTTGGAATATGTAAAATGAAACAAAGAAGTTATTAGTATCTGAAAATTTTCCAAAAGAATTAAACTATGAAACAGAGATGTTATCATAGAGAGGATCTAACTAACAAGACTGTAAGTTGAGCTCTATTGCTCACCTTGGCCACTTCTTTTCGAAGTTCTGGGTTGAGATGGTCTTCAAAAGTTATCACTACAGGATACTCAGAAGCAGTAAAGGCATGATCTTTAATTGCCCGCAGGCATTTGATGAGTGACACAGGAGATGTGAGTGTCCTACAGCTCCATGGATGTTCAATTAGTTAATGCAGAAGCTTCTTAAAACACACACAAAAGTATATCTAGAGGGTATCGGGAGCTCTCATATAGTGTAAGCACTTTCGGAAAAATCATTAGTGTATATATATATTTTTTAATTAAAACCAAAAAGATACTGAAACGTGAATGTAAGAAATGACTCGTCGTAGGATGATCACAAAAATGAACTTTTTTTTATAGTGTGCAATCTTTAGGTCATACCGTCCATGACGAACCTCAATGCCATTATTCTTTGATGTAGGCCACAAGTCCAACTCAATTGCTCTTACTCCTCTTTTTAGAGCCCTTATGATAGGAGTCACACTGCTTTTACTATACAGTTGATTCCCTGTTAAGTAGGAATTGTGGCCTGTAAATATGTAGTAGTGAGACAATGGGGCTCCCATATCCTGATAAACCTGCACCCAGTTCCCAACTATTAATCAATAATATCATGGCTTATTTTGCAAATTTATTTTAGAACTTTCAGTGAAAATTGAAGGAAAGTACTATTGGTAGAAGTGGAAGTTATACTTCTTTTGTTAACTTACATCTTTGTCCTTAAACATTCAGACTTGTTTTATCTCTCCTGCTAAAAAAATATATTTTATTTTGATCCTTAAACTTCCGTGATTATTAAATTGTTTATATTGGATTTAAGAAAAAACTTGATACATCTTTTTCAAAACATTAGTTTAGGTGATGCCACATAAGATTTCTAATAAACACATTATAGATAGACTTAATGACAAGGACTTAAATTAACTTTTTGTACTATGCCATAATATAGTCGATATGCAAGTAGGAAATCAGATTTGGATCACTATACTCCAAAATTGTGAAGAATATGAGACAATAGTAAGAACCAGAGTTTAAATACATTAGTGTATTATAAAACTTGTAAAGTTTAATATTATTATTCATATTAAACTCACTGTTCATAAACATATAATTTTGGAATTGAGAAGAAAATCTTTGTTCTAGAAAAATAGATTGTAATGTCTATGACAAAACAGAATATCAAAATACATTTTAATGAATTTTTATCTCTGAATGATGCTCTGGTTTTATGGATGGTGTGACATTGCATATATTGTAGATTGGCTTGAAAGGTAAAGAGAAGAAAGAGAGATAACCCCTTGGCAGTGCGGGAAAGCAAGATTAAGGTCTCCAAGAAGATAGCGGAAGAAATCTTCGAGATAAAGGCCTCTTCTCTGAAAGATGTTGAGGTGCTTGAGACTGTTGAAGATGTCCTCAGCTTTTGTCTCAGATGTTTCTCCTTGAATCTCTTCCAAAAACGTCCGCAATTGATCAATGTTCATTGTGCCATGTTTTGAGTATTTATTGAACATCATCTTCACATCTTCTGGTGCTTCTGCTGCATTTGTCCTGAATCTTCTACTGAAAAAGAAACAGACCCTGAAACTGTGCTTACTCATTCTTTACTATGATACAGAGCAGACACACCAAACCTGCACTTTCCGCGTGGTGTTTTCTTTTTTTTATCCTTTGTCCTACTTGGATCTGTGGAAGAATGAGTGAAAAAGAGGGGGAGGGGGAATTTCCATTTCAATCCCTAAAGAATGACTTCCAGCCGAAGTTGGAATCTGTGTCCATGGCAAGATGTTCTTTTCTTAGAGAGAGCAAATGTGGTGGAACTGGCAAGTAGTTGCTTGTGATTCCAAATTTGACCAGCCTAGTTTGCATTGCAGGAATAGGCTGTTGCTAGAATCTAGGATGTCTGATAGAGCCATCTAAATCCTAAAGAGTCTGCTTCTTTACAGCAAACTGTTACCTCAGCTATTCAGTATAGTGATTCGATCAACTGCATCCATTAGGAAGACAAGGTATCAATAAAATACACGGTTTTGTTCATGTATCCATTTTTTCTCCTGTCTCTGTTTTTCTTTACAGAATTAATCACTCTCCTTGAACAGAGGGAATCTGCTTTATAGTACAATGGCATCAAAGAAGGAAAAGAGAAAAAGGAAAGAGAGAAAAGTGGCGACCCCATATTCGATGCCTTTTCTCTACCCTATGAAAAATGTAAGAATCCAACTCTCTCTAGTCAAAGAACAGCAATAATCTCCACTATAGACAACAGTTGACAGGAAAAATTCACTCCACTGAGATGTTGCCCCAAAGGATAAGAAATTGTATTCAGGAAAACTCAAAACGCAATAGAAGCTTTACAGAACTGTACTTTGATCCTTTACGATCAAAAAGAGGAACAGCATGGATGCCTGCCTTCACTTCAGGAACAGGCAGACAGTTTTGTCCTCCAAAAACATCCTTATCTGAAATGTTATAACTATACACTTCGATTCGAAGTAAAGCCAGTTCAGGAATGGTCAAAGGATATGTGAACTCTTCGTTCCAAACTGGGCTCCAAGTCTCCTCTTTGATCTCTGTTCTCTTTATTATCGCATCATCTGGAGCTCCTGCGATTCCAATCTGCATAAGGCTAACATGGTCAATATGCAGTCGGTGAAGGTAACAATATTGCTTGAACTATGGACTTGGGTTAACTAGATTTCCATTCATTTGAAACTTACCCGTGCGTAGAAGTCAGGAGGGGAGTACAAATGAAAGTGGGTGCTTTCAAAATCCAAATTCCAGCCAACACCCATGTAGACTTTCACCTGTCATCGGCAATATAATGTTTTAGAGAGCAAGTCCAGCCGGACTTGATACATGATCTAGTTTGGCAAAATGCCTACCTTCAAAGTTTTTTTAACTGGCAATTTTGCATTAGGATCAAACACCTTGCCATGCGGATCAACTGTCAGTAGAAAATCAGGTTTTTTCACATAACCACAACCTCCGTTCGATCGAAACATCCCGTACATTAAACTGAGAGACTTTCCGTATCCCTGTGATGGTCAAATTAAATTTATTTTTTTAGAAGAACAAGGACAGTGATGTTATTTGATCCTAGAGAAAATGAAAATACCTGCATATTGAAAGCAACCATCTGAGCCCCGTGTAACCAAGCACTCATTGGGTTGTAGTTGGAAGAGTTTACTCGAGTTCCCTTCGGATATATCCTTAACATGTTCTTCTGGGTGAATCTGAAAGCAAGAACAGAGCAAGATTGGTGTCAGTTTGGGAAATGAATTCTTTAAACTTCTCTTAATTTCTTTCTGGAGTAAACTGACGACATGTATGTTACTATTACCTAATGACATCCATTCCATGAGATTTAGTTGCCTTTTTTAGTGCCTTTTCACTCAAGCTAAGGCGTCTAGCTTTATCAGCTCCAACTTTTAGAGCTTCCTTCAATCCCCCCTTTGGTTTGCCAGCATGAATGGCAATTAGGCGTTTGTATTCGGATACACCTGTAGCGTAAGATTCGTAATCACTGTCGTCACTCTCGCTGGATTCACTCTCACTCTGCAACCCAATAGAGAGTTGTATACTTCATCAAGATACTGGAAACCAGAAAATGACTAGAAAAACACAGCTAAAATGTGGTAAATTTCAACGGAAAGCAGACCGTATCGACCCCATCTTCATCATCCGTTTCATCTTCACTGGAAGAATTCTCCCCTTTCACATTTTTGGATCTGAGATATTCTTTAGGGGGTTTTGTTGAAATGATGATCCGATACTTCAATTCTTCTGGAGAAGGAAATTCTTGTAGATATTCTGCTTCAGGAAAGAACAGCATGTCTCCAAATGTTTCCTTGATGTTCTGCAAACAAAAACAAGCATCTCCCTCCCATAAATCTTCAAAGTATGAACAAAACTACTCTTTCTGTAAACAATTTGAGAGGGGAAAAAGATACCTCGGCTGCTTTAGCTTGAAGATCAGGAGTTAGGTGGTCTTCTAGAGTAATTATGACAGGATATGGAGATGCTATGAAAGCATTCTCTTTAATAGATTTCAGACATCTAACGAATTCCACAGGTGTTGTCAAGGTCCTAAAGAAAAGATTACACATTCAACTTCAGACAAACTACATTCTTCCTATATTTCAGTCAAAACCAACAATTCCATTTCTTAGTTCTTAGTTCTCTCACCTTCCATGAAGAACATCTATGTCATCTTCTTCAGAGTTTGGCCACAAATCAAGCTCCACGACTCTCACACCACTTTTCAGTGCATTTATGATCGGAACATCACTGGAATCACTGCTCAATTGATTCCCAGTTAAGTATGTATTGTGGCTAGTATAAATGTAATAATGGGACAGTGGAGCTCTCATATCCTGATGAACCTGTAAATGATGAAACCCTTGTATATCTAAGAATCTGGGGTTTTAGGTTGAGGTACAAGACCCAGAAACCAAAATTTCCAAATTTCAAGGAAACAGGAGAAATAAGAGAAATTGATATCTCACCTGATCTGAAACTGGGGGATTGAGATCCATAGAGAAGAGATAGTAATAGAAATCATCAAGATTGAGACTGTGTTTTGTGAGCTTGGAGATCACATGATGCCGCCGCTGCAGCACTTGCTCAACAATCCGTTGAGCATCGGCCATTGACGCTGTCTGATCTCCTTGAAACTCCACAAGAAACGAGTGGAACTGCTCGACGGTCATGTTGGCAGCGGCGGCGCTGGCGTATTTGAGAAACGCCTCCTTGACGTCCGACGGTGGCTCGTCTGTGGACATCTTAAACCTTCTGATGAAACAGAGACAAACCCTGTAATTTCCCATGGAGGGAGAGAGAGAGAGAGAGAGAGAGAGAGAGAAGCAAAAAAGGGAAATGGGTTGATTTCAATTGCTTTGAATTATGATTATATACAGGCAGAAGGGAAGATTTTGGTCTTCATTTTTCAAAACAACACAGCCACCAGGTAAGGCAAGGCAGCCATTGGGTTTGAAATGAAAGAGTCCGAGTTTAGACTCCTTTTATGTCATTGACGCTCTGTTTCTTTTCCTTTTCCTTTCAATATATGCAGGCTTCTTCTAAAAGCAACGATTGGGGTGCTTTCTCTTGCCATGCTGAGATCAGGTTATACTGTTCCCCACTCATACTCAAAAGTATATGCATGCCTTCTTGGTAGTTTCATTGTTCGGATGGTTTAAACTTCAATTATTAAAGGTTATTAGGGAATGATGTGAGATACCTTTTAAACTTGCTAAAGTGATGTGCTTACTACTCACCAGTTGAAATGACTTGAAATGACTTGAAAGTGAGAGCTTAGAGATCATAAAAGCTCTTCCTTTTACTTTTTATTTTATTTTATTCCGAGAATTTTTCAAAATTTATTCTTTTGGCTGAATTTTATATTCGTTTAATTTTGGTTATGAAAATTTTAAGATTTATATTTTAGTCTTCGAACTTTTGAATTACAAATACATCAGTTTCCATCTCTATTGTTTTGTGAATTGACTTTAAATTTATGTAGTTAGTTTTAGCGCGTCTATTCGAGTCGCAATGTCCATTGTGGTGGGCAATTTGGTGGATGTATTTGTCAGTGTAACTAGAATAGTTAATTTTAGTTGAATTACAAGTTTTTATTTGTAACTAAAATAGGTAATTTTAATTGAATTACAAGTTTTTATTTGTCGGTGTAACTAGAATTATTAATTTTAGTTGAATTACAAGTTTTGCCCAAAATTTTTCTTTTAAGCGAAGTCTATTTAGTTCTTAACATTAAAAAGTGTTAAAATAAGTTCAAAATTTTAATTTTGTGTTTACTAAGTTATTGAATTTTTAGTTTTATCGTGATCTACTCGACATTTTTTAAAATCATAAATTTATTATACATAAAATTGAAAATTTCATGCCAGCATAAAATTTAATTATATATCTAATAAATTTATTTATTTTGTAAAAAAGAAATTGAAAATTGAAAGTTGAAAGAAGTTATAAGTTAGAAGAAGTTCAACAAATATTTTAATTCTTCAAAAGCAAAACTATTTTTTATTAAAAAAAAAGGTTTTATTGCAAAAATAAAATTTATAGCCAACAAAGTTTCCATTGCAAAATTGAATAATTCAAAAAAGTATGGAAATATTTTTGTATTTGATGGTAATAAAATTTAATAATTGATACAAATGACGATAATAATACAAAAAGAAGCCTCCCAAGAAGGGTCAAATGGTCAAAATATTATAGCACAGTAGGAACCTTCTGGGTCCATTTGAACCTTAATGGTTAAGCTATTTATTTTCAAAATTTAAAAAAAAAAAAAATTAAATCCACGCTCTTCACATTCTTAACCTAAAAAAGGCAGCATTTTATTTGAAAATGATAATATAGTTTTTTTTAGTATTTTTCTATGAGAATTTAAACATATTATTTAGAAAAAATTATTAATATTTAACTGCACATTTTTTACAATATCAATAATCTATTAAATATAAAATTTAAAAATGATACAAATCTAAAAGTTCAAACTACGAAACTAGTAAAGTTTCATGATTTTTTACGGTATGTTTCAATATTTATTATCGTTAAATAAAAAAAAATACTAAAACTCCTTCGTTCTAATATTCTTAATAATCAAAACGTGTGATTGTAATATTAAAGAAATTAATGTGAGGAATTCATTCCCCAAAAGAATAAATCAATTAGAAGTTCCAACCAAGCTAAAAAGGGAAAGGAAAAGTGGGAAACCAAATTAAAATATTATAAATACTTTGGAAAAATTGAAAGAATAAAAATAATTATAAAACTAAAAGTGATCTCAAAACAAGATGCCTTCTCTTCTTTATTATAAAGAATGTTATATATTTTTATTTTTATTTTAATCTTTTCATCTTTCATGTGTCACATTTTTAATCAAAATTCTTATTGTCTTTCTTACTAATGTTTAAAATTTATTAATGAAATTTGATCAATAATACCTGTTGATTGTTGACCTTGTTGACCAAACGATTGGACTATGCATCTGTTGTACGACGCTTACGTTGTATCCAATCACTAGACCACTTCTTCTTACTATGTGAAAATGGAGCTCCCCAAGGCTTCAACCAGCATTCCTCCTCTTTCGATTCGCGTTGTCTCGTGGCTGTGGTGCACAAAGAACGTAACAATGTTGCAAAGACGAACTTTACCACACCAACTAATTTGATGGTGGCACCAATGATCAAAGAATCTGAGTAAGAATAACAAACACGAGAAATTAGAGATTTAAAAAAAAAAAAAATAGAGAGTAAATCTTTCAATATTAGATATAATTTAAAGATTTATGATTTATTCAACACATAATTAAAAGAATCTTAGAAATTTATTTAAAACTTTCCTAAATTTAATAATAGAATTAAATTTATAATTTAATATTTTATTTTAATCTACCTAATTCAGAACAAATGGACAAATTATTTTAGCATATAAGATTTCTAAAAGTAATTATTTTGGTATTTTTTTTTATAAAAAATAAAAATAATGAACATAGAATATATCTTTTGTACAAAATAATTATAAATATAGCAATTAACATCTTATCACATTGCCCATATCTTAAATGGTAGCAATATTACTGTTTTTTTTTTTTTTTTTAATCTTTTTCATTAATCATCATATTTATTATTTATTTATATTCCTTTTGATTAGTCATCAAATTTATGATTTGGGTTTAGCTACAACTTTCAACAAAGCTCCAAGATTAAGGGAACTACAAAGTTGTTTGGTTTGTGAGATTCAGATTAGGAAAATTTCAGCAGCTTCCTACTTTCTCCTCGTTATTATAGTTTTAAGTTAGCCCATTCACTTGCTCCACTGCTCTGTGAGAAGCTGGCAGATTCGATTGGCATTCTGATCTGACCGTCCCGAGAGATTTCTGGAACTGTTCGTGTCCTTCTGGCATCCGATGGATCAACTCGTTCTCTCCCGGAGCCAACGAGTCGATGAACTGCAGCTTTCTTCTGTCTACCTCGTCCTTGATTCTCTGCAACACAAAGGGGAAGTAATGAGTTAACTAAAACAGGAACTCAGTATTATACGTCGATCCCACTTTCAACTACTGAAAAAAAGAGCGAAAGAAGCAGGAGAAAACTACAAACGAGATCGATCTCATCCATGGATCATTTTTCAAGATTTCGAAGAGACCTGTGAACGTTGAGGAAGCAGTACTTGTATCCATATAAGAGATCGAAACATGATGTATACCGGAACAAAAATGACTTCAAACAAACTAGAAAAATGTTACAGCTACATTGGGATTATGGTCTTTGTTTCGTATGGACGCGCCACGAACACAAGTACTGTAACCATCCTCTCGCACAAGATAATCGATAGCCGTTTACGCACAAAGCAACCTCAGATGAAGTAAATGAGTGTTCCCACAGCATGGAACTTCGACATGCCATTTCGACTCTGATTGAGTAACTTGGCTCACACTAAAGTTAATGATATGGGCAACAGGTAAAAAATCAAAGCTATTTGCACTTGAAATCATTGTTCATGAAGTTAAGAAGAAAACTTTCATTGCCTCTAAAAAATCAATCTAAGGAAAGAGAGAAAACACTCAACAAGCAAGTTCCAAGACTTGGGAGATATGTTATGCTTTTTTATATATATATATATATATATATATATATATATATAGATATAGATATGATTATCTTGCTAGTTTTATGGCCTTTATTGATGTAACAACCTAAACCTAAACCAGCTAATAGATATTATCCGCTTTGGCCCGTTACGTATCGCTCTTGGCCTCACGGTTACAATATCTACTAACGGTGGATTTGGGTTGTTACAAATGGTATTAAAGCCAGACACCGAGCAGTGTGTTAGCGAGAACGCTGGTCCCCAAGGGGAGGTGTGGATTGTGAGATCCCCACCTCAGCTGGAGAGGAAAATAAAACATTTATTTATAAGGGTGTAGAATCCTTTCCCTAACTGACGCGTTTTAAAATCGTGAGGCTGAGCGCAATGTGTAACGGGTCAAAACAGACAATATCTACTGCCGGTGGGCTTGGACTGTCACAATTGACGACTAGGCCAAAACTAATTTTGTGGCGACTACTCATCAAGCCAGTATGGTTGCTTATGAAGCTATAATTTACAACCCGACAACCCTATGATTATAAGAGCATTCTCTACTGAGATAAACCAGAATAGAGCTAAGTTAAGATATGTTTTGGCTGAAACTTTGTTCTATATCTTTCGATCTCTCATCTTATTCAGCCGGATATGCATATGATTACAAATTCAGTAATATGATCTACTAATCATTTATATTGTCCTAGAATTGCTCATAGACAAGAACTACATATAAACTATCAAACAAAACACCAACATTTCAATTTTTTTTTGAACTGTATAGTTCGAAATTAGAAAACATACCTGCAAGATTCTGGACTCAAAATGGGGCAGGCCAATTTGGGCGACGGTAAGAGATCCAAACAAATTCCCAAGCAATGCAGCATCCGGCACAGCCAATCCAGCCGTGAAACCCGCGGCAAAGCCACCCAAGAAGCTGTCACCGGCACCGGTGGGATCGAGCTGAGTTGCTGTAAACGGAGCAATCTGCAACACGCCGCCGTTCGAATATAACTTACACCCTTCATTCCCATTCGTCACAACAACAGGGCAAAGCTTCTTGACCTCTCCAACATCCATAAACGGAGCCTCTTCAGCAGAAGCTTTTAACAATCCAATTCGAGGCAACAAATGGAAGAACCCACTGTCTTTCAGATTCACATGCTGCACAGTCCCATCAATTTCATCAAAAACTCGAATCAAAGACTGAATATCAACAAACACAACATCACAAATCTCAATCATCCGTTCAAGCGTCTCAGGGAGAACCTCCCCACCAACCCCAACCGCCATTCCAAATTCAAATCTAAAATCAGGAAGATCTGAAGGCAAAATCGGAGCACAGGCGGAAACCCTTTTCAGAATCCGATCTCCATGGCCATCGCAGGCGATTGACGAGTCGAAAAACGCACGAAACGTCGTCGTCTTCGAATTCCCGACAACAATCGGACTCTGGTTAGTCGAATAGGCGAAATCTTCCCCCACCTTGGAAACAGTGAGATAGGTAACCGATAGGCCTTCAAAGACCGTGGAAATGAACGAGGCGGCGCCGCCGAGAGACTCGGTGACGACATGGGCATCGCGAACAAGGATATCATGGCAGAAATTGCCGACAATCAGAGCACGAGGAGGAAAATTGGGAGGTGGGTCTTTGGTATCGCTCACCATTTGAGGGTTGTGAAGGGAAATAATAGAAAGATTGAAGAGAAAAAGGAGAAAGTTTCGGTGGGTATAGGGATCATGGGTGGAAAAGGGAAGAAAAAGGGACTAAGCCGCCATGGGAGGAGGATTTCGAAACGGAAATGAAGGACAAGAAGGGATTTGTAAGGGAAGTGAAGGTATGCATTTGAGGACAGAAAAAAAGAGAGTCGTGTAAGACGGCAGAGAGAGGCAACGTGCGCCGGAGAGAGATTTGGATTCAAAAGGGTTTATGTAAAGCTCTGGTTTGCATGGAATTCTTCTGTTTAATTCATTTCTGTCATAAGAACAAAGTTTGAGGATCTCATTTATTTATTTATTTTTCCTTTTTCTTTCAAATAAAGTGGGTCAACAAAGGGAGCTCAGGGGCCAAAAAATAATAATACAACAATATTACAATAATAAGAGAAAAAGAACTTTCTGTTCTTTAAAAGTATTTAGTAGTATTTTAAATTTTAGATTTAATATAGTTTCACATTTCACTAATTTTTTTTAATGTTTGATTAACCTTAAGACATTTTAAATGCTTTAACAATATGCAACTAATCGAAGTATATTATATTTTTTAACCAAAAAAGTCGAGATTTGAATTACCATCTCGGCCTTCTTTCATGTATTAATCTAAAACTTCCAATCTATTATTTAAATATCTAAATGATATTGTGTCCGATAAATATCTAAACTTGTGTATAATCGGTTCTAATGAATTGAATATTATGGCACCTCGTCTTCCTATTTTTCACCGACTTCCAAAATTGTTGGCAGAGGCGAAGTGATATGGACAAATTCCAAATCCAAAGGTGGAATTCAATCTTAATAACAACAAAAGATATGGGCGTGGCAGTAACCCTTCAGGGCAGCTAAAAATGACCAAAACAGTCAATAAAAGGTAAGAAGAAGAGGAGAAAAGGAAAAAGGATCTAGTAAGAAGATTCAATAATAGCAAAAGGTAATGTACTGCTTTAAAAGATCATGAAGGAAGCCACCTTAGAACACTAACCACCCGGGCAACAAACCCGAGGTCACAATGGATTCCAACAACCGTTCTCTCACGAAGATTTGAATTTCTAACTCAGAGGGAATATATGTTTTAACCCATTGGATTTAACAATAAAATCAAACTTAGAGTAGGATGACTTGAATATTTGACCTTTCGTGTAACCGTTCAAGCCCACTGCGAGTAGATATTGTCCTTTTTGGACTTTTCCTTTCGGATTTTCTCTCAAGGTTTTTAAAATGTGTCTGCTGAGGAGAGGTTTCCACACCATAATAGAGAATGTTTCGTTCTCCTCCCCAACTGATGTGGGATCTCATAATCCACCCCCTTTGAGGCTCAGCGTCCTCAATGGCACTCGTTCCATTCTCCAATGGATATGGACTTAGGCCTTAACCATCTAATTTCAACTAATAAATTCAGGACTCTTAAAAGTAACAATATACAATCAAAGCCACACAAGAACTCTTCAACTCATAAATAAAGGGATTTTTCTTCTGCTTTGGACCTTTTAAGAGAAAAGAAGATAAAAAATTACATACCTGGAGTAGTCATCCGTCCTTTGAGAGGTGGGAATCTGAAAGCAAATGCAAAAAAATGCAGAATATTAATGAATGGCCATGACATAATGGTTAGGAATCTGATACCACCTCAATTTTAACACTTTTGAATAGGGTTCCAACTGCTGCAATCACAACCGTCGCCGCAGCATTTCCCTTCTCTAATTCCCATTTCTTTTACGTCTTATTGCTCAAAGGATTAAAGAAAATACCAAACAAAGCCAAGAAGATAAGATCCCACCAGAAAAATGCTTTCATCCACCACTTTGGACATTAAACATGAGCTGTTACGCATGAACTAGGACTCTAGACAGGATCTCATCACATTTGGAACATAATTTGGGGGAGCGCTTAAACTAAAGAGGAACCTTTTTTCAACATAATTTATTGGGATCTGGGCAAACTAATATATAGATAATGACGATATCAGTTGCTACGTTTACCATGTACTTCCATCTGCTATAGACCTCTAGGACATAGTTTTGTTTATATCAAACCAAATAGAAGGTTAAAAGCTTATAATACAAAGTATTTGGTAGATAAATATATATCAACTAAATCTTTTTAATTCATTGCAGCTATTGCGCGCAGACTCGGTAAATTTCCCTTCCACAATAGCAGCTATTACAGGGATTGCATAAATCAAGACCAGGAGAAAACCTACATTATTTACTGAGGATTAATAGAGTGTCATGCCCATGCAAGTTATAAATGCCACGAACTATAGTTGTCAATCTGAGTGAATTCCACCCATGAAGGTCCTTGGATCGGGACAGTTGCCCGAAAACTGAGCTTGTGAGAAGTCAAATCCAGGGTTCTGCAAAGGAACTATGAGAGCATATTAAATTTCAAGATTTCATTACATGACAGACACGACTCTGGACATATGAAATTATGTAGGAAAGGAAACAAGTTCATGAATTTCAAAGGTATCAAAACTTTTCAAAAGCATTCCACCCAATAAAATTTTAGTAAACTAACGAGAATACTACAACTCCTCCATCCATATGTGTGTCTGTATGACATGCAGAGTGGATAACATTCGTATGCAATGATTGAATGCAACCCCAATTATATCTATACCATCCAAAAAAAAAAAAATCAAAAGCTTAAAAATACAAAAATATGGAATTCAAAATACAACAAAACAAGTAATGCAGGGCATCTCATGAACTTGAGAATGGACTTATGAGATATTTTCCTTCAACTCGATTGGGTTCTAAAGGTTGCCACCAAGGATAGGCTCCAAATGGAGTAGCCTTGCAGATGAATTCTTGAGCTTGGTCATGGATGAAGTGTAGGAATATTTGGGTTATATCACAAGTCCTATCATCTGCAGCTTTGCAAAATTGGTTCATCTATCCAACATCAGTTAGTACAAGAGCTCATCATATGTTCAAGTCATCTTGGAAGTGCCTTGAAGGAAAATGAGTAAAGCTTTTGGGTTAGGAGTTTCTTCACCCTCTTGTTGCTGCACCTAATTGACTACTTAAGGGATATCTTCAAAGAGAAGAAATCAAACAAAATAGACTATCATTGTATTTTCTCTTGCTTGGTCCTCGGTGATGTATGAGAAAAACCAGGCCGTCTCTTATGAATTGAAAATTTGGAAGAAATGGTTCATGTACTCTACATTAGTTAAAGATTTCATGTATGCATCTAGAGATTTTTTTTTTTTTTTCTCTCTTTTTTCTATCTTGACAGCTTGAAGCAATTGATCACTGACTAAAAATGAACAAATGCTCAAGAAAAGAAACAAAAGGAACATAAAACAAACATGAAAAGCACAAAACGTATTCATATCATCTAAAAAGATGGAACAAAGAAACGGACCTCCTCCTGAAACCTTTGGAGCATAAGACGCTTCTGCTCAAGATCAGTGGAGTAAGGATCAAGACGACCCTGACCCTGTATGGGAGAAGCCCATGTCTGACCCTTGTCCCTCTTCTGCAGTGTAATGTGCATTATGCCATCCTCTGCCACACCAAATAAACAAAACAATTACACCACAAAATAGACAAAATCGGAGCAATAGAAGGGAAATACAAAAAGAGACATCAATAATCTGATTAGAAATTCCATATATTTGGTCTAAAATCATAACATTCAACCGCCTCAAAATTATAGTTAATCATTAACGCGAGAATTCGCAAGCACCTAGCGTCCAGAAAGACGAATCCGTCTTCACAGGGCAAGTAAGTTCGTGCTGCAAATCAACGCAAAGAAATCAATACAACATACGAATTAATACATCAAACTTAAATCAAGCAAGAAAGAGAGGTGAAAATGCAATGATACTGACATTGAGATAAGGAGGATTCCCCTTAATCCCAAGCTCGACATGTCTAGACTGAATCTTGCAGTAGAATTGCTTTGAATGAACATTTGGAGGCAAATTAATATACATATTAACCTCCTCCAGAGTCTGATCCCATTCAAACACTTCCTGACCTGAAAAGAAAAAAAAAAAAACTAGTAATACAGTGAATTAATTCGGCAAATTGAAAATTCCGAAGATGAAATTGATGAAGAGATAGAAAAGACCGTTGTGGAGAAAGCTATGGCGCTTTTCTGGAGCCAATTTCTCTGCCATTTCTTAGGGTTCGCTTCTTCCTTCTTCCCCTTTCCCGCGAGTTTCACACAGAAGCTTTTCCCTTGGTTTGTTTCTCTCTAACGAGAAGTTCCGGTCTAGCGAAGCTTAAATATTATTCCTGAACCGGCCCCAAACTTTTACATATTTGCGTTTTGAACCCGTGTTGAAAATTTGAAACTATTTCCAAAATGGGTCTTTTAGCAAAAAGAAAAATATATATTTGCAAAACTATTTTTAAATATTAAAATATAAAGTTTTTAGTTGTTTCTTCCATAATTACATTTTTGTAATTTATTTAGTTAAATAACAATTTTATTTTTTCAAGTTTATCTCAATTAATAAATTTAATTTTATGTTTATTTTCATACATAATAAATCTCTAAATTTTAAAAATTATTAAATGGGATCGAAGTCAGTTAAATAAACAAATAAAAATTTAACGACTTATTAAATTAAAAATTAAAAATTTATAAATTTATTTAAAATCAAATTAAACACCTAAATTAAATTAGGAAAAAAAATAAAAACTAAAAACAGGTGCACATTAATATGGAAATATATATAATGTTATTTATAATATAATATTATTATTACCATTAATAATTAATAATTATATTTTATATTTAAAAACAAATTAAAATTATTTATGTAGGGTCACGTGACAAGAATTTAACAAGATTGAAATTCGCTCAATCAACACACGTTGTTTCATCGTGTTTTATCTTCATTCACGTGTTTATGTCTATATATCAACTTTTAGTGATTAACTTTGATGGTCATCACGTAACGTGTAACTACCATAAAGTTCATATAGTGTACTTTAATTAAACAAATTAAACTGCTCTTATACGTAATCAGCCATATTATATGTTCAAACAATAAAATCCAAATATATATTATACGTAACGGACGAAATAATTATAAAGTTACCAAACATATATTATACAAAAATGGGAGTAATTAAGTGTCACCATAATTTTGAATAAATTCACATGGAGTATGTTTGGTAACTGAAATTTCAGAAAATTCCAGGAAATTTCGTGTTCTTTCACTTATCGTGTGTTTTTTTTTAACCTTAAATCCACAATTTCGGACCCATTATGTCTCTGTTCTTGTTTCTCCGCCTTGATTTTCACCTGAAAAACACACAGACACTGCAGCGTCGGCGGCGATATTTCATTCCAGGCTAATTCTTCTGCCGGACTCCGCCGTGGTGGTTAGCCTACTCATGGGTTCAGACGAGCCGCTGGTTTTCCGTGATTTGGAGATCAATGGAGGTGGCGCGACGGCGACGGCGACGGTGAGGTTTGGGTTGGTTAGGGATTTGTGGGGGAATTTACTGAAAGCGGTGTTTGGAACGAAGCTGGCGGTGCTTTTTCCGGCGATCCCTTTGGCGGTGGCGGCGGATTTTTACAACTTTGGAAGCGTAAGCCTTCGGTCGTACTTCGTTCATAATATTAAATTTATTTTAAATTTATGTTTTTGAAAATAAAAAATGGGAACAGAATTATTTATTATATTTTTCTGATTTTTTTCCATTTTTTTTCATTTATTTAATAGAATCTGACCTGTCATGTAATTGTGTGCCACGTAGGCATGGACACTTGGTTTGAGCTTACTTGGATTGGCTCACCTTGCAGAACGTGTCAGTTTTTTGACCGAGTAAGAACGTTTTTCATTTTCCTTCCTATAATTAATTAATTTATTTATTTATTTGAATTTTGTATTTATGCTTTTAAAATTTTAATAAAATTTATAATTCTTAACCTATAATTTTACGAAAATAAATTCATAAATATTTTTCTTCTAATTTCGTGCGTTGTTGTTTCTTCGTTGAAAAAAAATATCAGGCAGATTGCATTCTTCACGGGGCCCACAGGTACTTCAAATCTCCACCGTCCATTTCTTGAGTTGTTGTGAATCAGACTTTATTAGTCCATAATTACCAAAATACCCTTACAATTTTTAGGATTTTTTTTAGTGAGTGGCGAGTGTTAGCGAGCACGCAGTGTCTCGAAGAGGTGGATTGTGAGATCCGAAGCATTCTTTATAATGGTGTGAAAACTTTTCAACTAGTTAAAGACACTAGGAAAAGTCTAAAGATAACAATATCTACCTGCAGAGAGGGCGTGTGCCATTGCCAACCCATCAACCCAATTTTTATAGATTGGGTTCGGTAGTTTAGGTTGGTCGAGTTCTCGGGTCATTTGAGTACCTGAACTCCTCGTAAGTCTAAAAACATAATTGCAATTTGTAATTTAACACGGGTCATTTTTGTGTTCGTTAATTATGGCAGTTGGAGGGCTAGTGAATGCAACATGTGGGAATGTAACAGAGTTGATATTAGCAATGTTAGCATTACACCAAAACAAAATCCACATCTTGAAATTCTCCCTTTTGGGTTCCATTCTTTCCAATTTACTTCTAGTTCTTGGCACCTCTCTTCTCTTTGGAGGCTTATCCAATCTCAACAAGCAACAAACATTCAACCCAGTAAGCCAAAACAAAAAATACTTTCTAACTTTCGAATCGAACACGTTCGAGAAACAAGAAACAAGAACATTAACGTTATCGATCATGTTTTCTCAACAGAAAGTCGCGAACGTAAGCTCTTTAGTGTTGCTACTCGGATTGCTATGCCAAATGCTGCCATTGATATCAAGATTTGCATCACCATCAGCTAAATTATGGACAGACATGTCTGTTCTAGAGCTATCAAGAACATGCAGCATCATAATGCTCATAGCTTATCTTGCTTATGTGTTCTTCCAATTGAAAACCCATAACCAATTTTTTGGTCTACCAGAGGTGATTATTCAAACTCTCTTGAACTCTAAGTATAATTTGTTGTCTAAACATGTGATGAATGGGTTGAATAGGAGGAAGAGGATGATGAAGAAATGGCAATAATTGGGGTTTGGAGCTCGTTTGGTTGGCTGGTGGGTATGACCATTGTCATAGCTGTTCTATCACAGTATGTTGTGGCTACAATTGAGGTATATTTCATTGAAAGCCATTCTTTTTGTGTTTGTTTCCAAGAAATTATGGGTTTTTGTTGAGCGTAGGAGGCATCACAATCATGGGGCGTTTCGGTGAGCTTTATGAGTATAATTGTGCTGCCGATTATGGGTAATGCAGCTGAGCATGCTGGGTCGGTTATATTTGCTGTGAAGAACAAATTGGTAAGTTTGTATGCAACCGTTCAAGTCCATCCCTAGCGGATATGATCTTCTTTGAAATTTCTTTTTCGGGTTTTTTTTCGGTGTTTTTAAAACGGTATGCTAGGGAGAGATTTCCACACCCTTACCATGCTTCGTTCTCCTCACTGACCGATGTGAGATCTCATAATCCACCCCCTTTGTGACTTAGCGTCCTCGTTGACACTCGTTCCCTTCTCCAATCGATGTGGGACCTCCCAATCCGTCTCCCTTTTGGGCTTAGTTTTCTTCCTGGCAAACCACCTCGTGTCCACCCTCTTTGGGGCTCAGCCTTCTTACTGGCATATCATCCGGTGTCGGGCTCTTATACCATTTGTAACAGCTCAAGCCCACCCCTAGCATGACTTTTCTTTCCGGGTTTCTTCTCAAGATTTTTAAAACATGTCTGCTAGAGAGATGTTTCCACACTCTTATAAAGAATGTTTCGTCTCCAACTGATATGAGATCTCACAATCCATCCCCCCCCCCCCCCCCCCCCCC